CTGGAGCCCTGCAGCCGCACTGGATGCCGCAAAGGTTTTCGAGGTTCAGTCCTTGCGGGTCCAGAGGATCAGGCAAAACTGATGAACCGGAGCCAGACTCAGAGGAGAGTCATCAGTCTTGCACCGTTGAATTGATTTCGCTCCAAGGCTCTCAGGCTCCGCCGCGACAAATGCACCTGATAGGAGTCTTGGCCAGTGTGAGGAGCTGTACTCTTGGTGCATTAAGGTGTAGGCGTTCGTTCAGAAGATAATCTACCTAGATCTCATGGCTTCTGTGCCAGAGTGACTGTGATGATGCTACTGATCCAGCTTTCCTTGCACCAGCTGAAGCTCACAAGAATTGTGTTGATATCTGCTTTCCAGTGAATCGTAGCACCTGGCTGTCTCTTGTGTGAAGATAGAATGTGAGGTGCCCGAAATTCCCAGCTTGGTTGTTTCACAGGGCTAGGGTTGGTCAGCTGAGCGTATGCAGCCTTCTTTGCAGCTTCTTTGTTTGGCAGAACTGGCCGGTCTGCGGGCTACCAATCATTGACAAGAAGATTAACACTGATAAGCTTATGCCAAAGTCTCTTGGTTTCATTGTCCACTTGTCCTGAGCATGTTGAGATGAGGAAGGTGTATCCCGGCCCGGACAACACCATCATCATTGGCCGGGCTTATCAGCTTGAGCTGCACCAGAAGGCGTCCGCATCGGGTAGCTCCAGGAGTGGGGATCTGGCTTAGGTGGTTGGGGTGGTCATCGTGTCACAGCTTGGACTGGCACAGTGAGCCCGTCTTTCAACAGCTTCTACCAGACATTCAAGATATGTGTTGCGCGCGGCAGGCCTTGCCGGAGGATGTGCAGACTTTCGTTAGCCGCGAACACTTCAAAGTGGAGGCACTTTGGAGGGCCAGGGTCTTGCAGGGCGATTGAGAGCTTTCATTGGGAAGTAGATGGTACACGTGAGCAGATTTCTGGGTGGGCATGTGCAGTGCCTGGTTTTGGCGTCGCTTTTCAAGGGTTGATACGGCTTTACTGCAGAGCTCCTGCAGCAACCGGGAAGACTCCAAGCGATTACTGCTTGCTGTGTGAGAGCCCTGTCAGCAATTCGAAGCCGCAATGGGCTTCATTTTTGCATGTTCTGGCATTCGGGTTTCTGGACAAGTCATGAGTCAAGATCTGTGCGCGTCCTGCACGCAGGCAGGACTTTCTGCGTCGCTGCCAGAACCCTTTGCCCGGCCAAAGCCTTGAGTACCGTACTCCAACCTGTGTACAACCGGGCCCCAGCCTGCAAAAGCTCAGTGCCTTGCTTGGCAGGAGGTACGCGAAGAGCTGCTCAGCTGTCGTGGTATTTTCATAGAGCCTCCGGATACCTCAGGCACAGTGCTTTGATATTCTGGCATATGAGCACAAAAAGTCTACATGTGGTAGATGGATGATGTTAGCAGTCTGCTTCTTGCTTCGTCATCCGACATAGGGACCAGCTCCAGACCATTGAACACCAAAGTCTGGACTGGAAGCAGCAAACCTTAGATTGTAGCCCAAGAATCTTTCAACTTGCGCTGAACGCATTCTGGCTGAAAACCTTAAAATGCATATCAAACCTTGCTAGCAATCAAAGCCCTGCAAAGCTCAAAGCTGAGTTGTGCACTCCAGAGCAACACACATTGGCACATCTCCCTTCTAAGGCGCGTGACACCTTTTCCACCCCGAGCAACCCTCAAGCTGACGCAGCTCAGCGCGCGACCTGGTTGCAGCTTGTAGGGGTTTGTGGCTTCTCTTTTTCTAGGTTTGGTGCATCACTGGGGTGAAGGGAACAAGATGCTCAGGCCTCAAGCGAGTGCCGTTAGTATCTTGAATCTTGGCCCCCCAGCAAGTTTGCACTTTTCTCGGAAGAGATGCGCCCAGAGGAACCCTGTGTGGTGCAGCCGCGGGGGAGAGAAGAAGAAGTTGCAGCAGCAGGACGCCTCGGCGATTGAAAGCCCACGTGTTCATTCTTGGGTTTGGAAAGGCTTGCGATCTCAAGAGCCTGGCTCCGGGGCTGAGGCTCTTGCTTGAGGCTTTAGAGGATTGCCAGTCGCTATTCAAATGCGTAGTGAGGTACCAGTTGCTGCTTCTTCTGAGCTGCACCATCCAGCGTGTAAACCTCGAATCCCTTGTCACCTTGCGCCCCCAAGAATCAGCCAACAATTGCCATTTGTGAGGAAACTGCAGAACTCGAGCCCGGTGATCGGATCTTGCTTTACACAGGAGCGTCTGATGGCCGCTTGGCTCCACACAAAGGTTTCAGGATGCAGGAAAGGGATGGTTGATTTAATGTCCACTTCAAGTGGACCAATACTCCCTGATCTTTGCAAAACAAATGATTGATGTTTCAAGGCTCCCCAGATGGTCCTGGCTCTCGCGGGACAGTTGCCTGGATTGTGGGCCGAGACTCGTGAAACAAGTGGTGATCCCTTTGATAATTGCAGATAGGCACCTGAAGGATCAGAGACAGATTGCCTTCGAATGTGACATAAATTGCAAGGTGCAATCTTTAGTGCCCAGTCCACACGTCTACAGCGCAGACTTGTCCATCATTCCAGCACAAGTCCCACCTTCTGTATTTGCACAAGCTGGCGGGATCTGGCTAGTGCCACGAACATCCGAGCATGCAATCCCCAAACATCCCCAGACCAAGTCCTCGGTGTAGTCTCTTTGTCTCAAGCAACATGCAGTTTCTGCAGCACATTGCAGCACAGCATATTTTGCAAGCACCAGCTTTCTCAAGACAAATCGTGACCTCGCTGTCCTTTGAAAGGTTCGCAGGCTTGCTAAGTGAGCAGCGTGATGTCTCTCTGATCCGAATCGAGCAGTGTCAGTCAGACAGCTAAGCAGAATAAACAGCATTTGTTGACACTGCTGATGTACGTGGCCAACGATGGCGACTGCTTCTTAGCCACATGCGGCTATGGGCGCTGATGTGGGGGCCTGAAACCTGGGTTGAATGTTCAAGCTTCGCGGGGACGGGGGTGGAGGGCATAAGACTATCATACGATGGATGACCTCATCTGACAGCTTTGATGTTGGGTGGACACACATCCAGTGGATGATTGATGTGCGTGCAGACGGTGCTGCGCAATCTGTTTTTTTCAGAGAGCAAGCCTCCTTGCAAGGCTGCCCTGGAGGTCCTACCGGCTGGGCGGCCTGTGTCAGCCGCCTGCTTGGGATCCAGAGCACGCTTCGGGTTGGGATGGCTTCTTCCTTTACTTTGGGCAAGCTTGATCCCAAACATCCGTCGTCCGCATGTTTTTTGAAGCTGTCAGCGGCTTGTATTGAGCTAGGCTTCGCTTGAGCCTGTGGCGGCGTGGCACCCGGGTGAGGCCTGGAGAAAATTTCCTTCATCTCTAAGGAACTTATCGTCCGTCAGGCAGAGACTTGAGATGGGGCTTTGCATGCAGGAGTTTGGGTGCAGATGTTCCGCACTGGTCCGCAATTCTCAAGTACAGTAAACAGACGGAAAGAGCCTCACCTGCCACAGCTGCTGCGGCTGCAGGTGCCCAAGCTTCCACAGCTCTTGAGCTTTCGGCAACTGCTGCGGGAGCAGTACTCCCGGGACCTTAGTCTGAGCCTTGAGAGTGGTTGGCTTGCAGCCCTGGAAGCAATCCATGAAGGGCTGTGCCCATCGACCCTTTAGGCCCCATGGCTCATTCAGGTCCCTGCTGTGACCTTTTGGGCCAACATTTTGGTGAGAGGATTGAACCCAAGAAAGCACGGGGTCAGCCAATGCACCGGCACCCAGACTAGAAGTCTGGCCGCTGGCCCTAGCTTCAATTTTTGCTGCAGATTCTGCATGCTCAGAGCAATCTGTGCAAAAGTCTGCCAACAACTTCACGAAAGCAGTGCTAACAGCATCACTTCTGATAAGCCGGAGCGAGGGCCTCGTGGGTTCAAGTATCGCGAAATCGCCTGACAGCTATGACCTTGCAGAGCAGGATTGAGGGAGAGCAGTGACGTACGTTATCCGAATCAGTATCCACCAGTTGAGCCTTCTTGATTTGAAGTCTGAACAAAACCGACCTTCTACAGTAGATCTCTGGAAGTGCGGTGCCGTCCCTCTACTTGTCAGGAGCAACTCTCGGGCCCGCCAGCCGCAACTACGCAGCGGGCAGCAGATGCGGCCGGGGCAGCCAAGGCGGCCGAAGCGGCAGAGCCGGCAAAGGAGGAGCTGCTAAGGGGCCGAATCTAATCCGCCGCCCAAGGGACTTTCACTGTCAATTGGCTTTGGCATTGCCTTCAAGGGAAATTGGCTCAGCAATTCAAGGCGCTTGGTACAGCTTCGAGGCTGAGTGCTGTCGGGATCCTTCAGGAGCCTCCTGCCCCTGCCGCCCCAGAGCTCAAGATGCAGTAGTAAACTTCAGTGCTTGAAAGAGTTCTGGGTCTGCCTCTTGTGGCCGGGGTCTCCAAGGCAAAGTCTTTTGGGTTTTCCAGGTGACTGTGCAAAGTGGTTTCATGCAACCTCCAGACTCCAGACTCCCCAAATTTGCCTGCCTCAGATCCTGCATCCTCAAGCTCTCTGCCAAGCTAGACCAAGGCCCGCCAGCCGCTGAAGCGGAAGCTGGCACAGCGGAAGGATTTGCGCAGTCAGGACTGCACAGAACCAGGCTTTCCAGATACTGCACAGCATGTCAAAGCTTGGATACATGTTCATAGCATGAAAGCCTGGGCCAAGCACGGCACCTCAACAAATCAGCGGCACACAATTTGCCGATCTAACCATCAGAGGCCCAACATGCCCAAAATTCAGCAACATCGTAAGAGAGCAACAGGAAGGGCTGTCGCGGATTGGGCGCCGAGACTTGCTGGGCGAGGCCAAAGGATTCCGGGTAAGAACTGCCTGGCTCCTGAACAAAGGGGTATTCCGCGTGTCAGCTGCAGATGCAGATTATGTGTTTTCTCGAGCTTTTGGGACTTCATTATTTGGAGGTTGTGGATTTTCTTGGAGTCTAACCGTTTGAGATCGGGGTTGCCCATGTGCGAGGCCATCCGCAGCATGGAGAACCGATTGGCTCGTCAGGGCCTGCTTGCCGCCCCGGAGACGATCCTGTCGTCTGGGCGGGGAGGGGAAATTTCTGTCAGTTTTGGGATCTTTGTGGTGGTAACATAGGTTTGAAGCTTGGGTTGGGTTTATTGCTTCCTTGGGCTTTGATGTGTCCAACTTTCAAGCAACAAAAGAGAACGCACATGTCACATGTCGTTGCATGTTCCTTCCTATTTCCGACTGCAGGAAACAGGGGAAGCAGGAATGGGGATTGTCCAGGCCTCAGAGCCCTCTGTGCGGAATGTATTCTATCAGCGCAATACTCCCAGGGCATGAGGGCACGTCAGAGCTGTGTGGGGAGAGCTTGAAATTCTGACGTTGTGGTCCCGATTCGTGTCGCATTGTCCGGGCAAGCAGCGTGCCAAGGGCGGCCTGTTTGTGCTAATCTCCGAGTAGTTTCGCAGGCGCTTCGTACCCTCGGGCCTTTAATAAAATTGAGTGGTTCCGCCTCGATTTCTGCATCTGACTTTTCGCACCAGAGTACATCTTCGGCTTCAGATGGCATGAGGATCAAGACCTATTGAGGTTCTATGATTTGCACGACAACTTCATCGACGACACGGAGTTGGAAGCTGTGAATGCCTATCACACCCAGAAGCAGCAGAAGCAGAAGACAGGACTTCTGTGCAATGAACGGCTCAAAGTGGAAGCTAACGCTTCAGGTTCTTGCCTTACAACCGTTAACGGGACTGGAAGCTGTGTGTGTGTGTGTGTGTGTTTTTTTTGGGATGCCAGGCGGGGATTACGGTCGATGGTGGTCAGGGTATGTTTGACTTTGGCTTTGAGTTCGCAGCATCCAGTAGACGCTCAGCGACCGCAGGAACAGTCATGTTGACCGGCCATAGGCTGCAATTTTGCACTCCCATCGTTCAAGCCCAGTTTGATTGAATCAGACAACACAAAAACAGCCGTAATCAAACCATCCTTGAAACACAGATCCATCCCTCGTCACGAATGACCAAGCAGGGACTTCACAGGCAGCATGTGCCCCCGGCAAGTTGCCCAAGCAAGGTACAAAGCAGAATCTCCTGTGCAAAAACATGCTACTAGTTGCGATCAAGCTCACTGCGGCACAAACCAACAAGGTAGACATTCTCATGCAGGATTTTCAGATCAGCAGCTTTTGCCCTAACCGGAAAGACTCCATCGTCAGTAACAGCCCATTGCAGTGAGCCATCTCGGGCTCTCTGACTCAAGGCGGCTCGATAATGACCTGATTGCAAAGTGGCACCAAGATGGTAAACGGCAGTTGTGGTCTGATATGAGACATAGCTCAGCTCAAAGCCATCATCCCAGAGCGGCATCCAGATAGTCTCACCTGCATTCTGAACCGGCACTCCACTCTTCAGTATAGCACCTCTTCTTTGAGTGTAGCGCCGTAGTTGAAGGAAAAGAAAAATGTGTGCCAACCTCAGAGCATAAATGCCGGGGGAAGAAACTGTATTCCAATCATCAATGCATTTTTGAAGGCCACCTGAGCAAATATCAATGACCAGCGGGTGAAAGCCATCACCTGAGTCAGTAGTGCTGATACGATTGGAGAAAATTTATCTGATTTGTCGCTTGGCCTGCCATCCAAGTAAGGATCCCGCGGGCTCAGCTTGTCCCAGAACAAATGTCAGGAACTCTGAGGCGTCCTGCTGCTGGTTGATGCATGGCCACCATGTGAGAACACCATGCCAATGAAACAAGGAGGGAATACAAGCAACTTTGGCTGACAGAATTGCCTGAAAGGCCGTTCTCAATGTGCCAAATGCAAATGTAGGATGACTTCCTGAGAAAATTTGCATCCAACGCATGGCTGAAACAGTGCTATTCAGGTAGCAGATGTTGTGTGGATTTCTGAGCTTCCAGCTTGGAAAAGCGGAGTCCCTCACTCCATGTCTTGATCTTTCTTCTCGTTGGGCTTGGCTCCCTGCCCACTCTGTCTCTGCTGGCGACGAGGATATTTTTTGCTGGGAGGAAGAAAGCGTTCCTCTAGGATTTGGCTCGAGGCTGTCTTTCTATCTTTGCTGTTGGAATCCGGAATGCAGCCACCTTCGTGGCCCTCAAGCCTGACATTAGACTTAGCAGGCAGTGTGCTCGACCCATGAACGGATCAAGGTATACTTAAGTTGCGTGCTTTCACGGGCACAGGTTTGAGGCCCCCTTGATGGACTTGCAGTCTTGAGTCAGCAGACTTGACGATGGCTGTGTTTGAGATGCCTGAAGAGTAAGGGGGCAATGATCAGCGGCACAGCACAGCCTCACCTAGTCTGTGCACTCATCCTCAGAGAAATCTGAACCACTAGTGTCAAAAGGCTGAGATGGCCGGCAATCCTTGCACAGCTTGGACTTACCGTTGCAGCCTTGCGCAAGAAAGGGCAAGAGACTTTTTTGAACAGGCATCCCTGGTTCACGCGTCACAAATTGCGTTTGAAAGGAGGCCGCGTCGATGCAACCAAGAGAGCCGAGCTGGACTTACCCAGGCCGCGTCTTCTGTGATGGCTCAGAATCCCCGAAGAGCTTTAAAGCTAACTTATCCAGGAACATGCCCTGAAGACAGTTGCTTTCAGCCTACAGATCCCTGCTCAAATGGGAAATTCAACCTGCGTTGCCAAGGGCTGTTCATGCGCCCAAAGAAACCTAATGCCTTTCGCTAGACCAAGCGGCACCTGCTTCGTGCATTCCTGCTGTTCACAAGCCTTGCCCCTTTCATCGCAAGGCCTGCAGAGGCAACTACGCAGGCGCTTCTGCTCAGCTTGCGCAACTTCACGCTGGCGTTTGCATCGTGCGGATGTTGGTCTTGGCATTCTGAGTTGGCATTCTGAGTTCCTCGTCTCAGCCTGCAGGAGGAGCAGGCCTTCCTGGCAGGCTTTCGGCTGACAGGTGGTGAGGCGGGGAGAGCGCAGGATTTCAGCAGCAGGTGACTCGAAGAATCACTTCTAAGTTCTTGGGCTCCTGGGGCAATTCCCACTATTCAAGAGCATGCAGCTTTCGCAGCACACAGCCCTAATCTAGCTGAAGTTCGAGGCTGCTTTGTCGACGTTTACAATACTCGGTGAGGCATGTAACTACGGCACATGAGGCAAGAAGTTAGCTGCCTTCATCCCCATCGACTTTCCAGAGGTCTCCGGAACATCCGATGAGTCAAGCTGTGAGAGTGACGGGCAGAACTTCGAAGATGCAGCTCGTGCAAGCATTGCAGCGTCTAGGAATCCCTCAAAGACAGCCTATGTGGGACTGTCCCTGTCCCAAAGTTATCCGTGTTGTCCTCTCAGGAAGCTAAGCTACCAAGCCCCAAGGTTGGCCTGCGCGGCAATCCCTGGCGGCGAGAGGCTCGCGGCTGGCACTGGCAGCTGTCAGAGCTTCAGCAGGCCCCGTGCCTGAGACAGCTAAAAGGCCACAGCAGGTCAAGGATTCGGGTGGCAGTCTGAGCGTCTGTTACGTGAAAGAACTGTACACATGTGTTGCATTTTTCAGTTTACCAATTGCAGTTTGTTGCGTCGACGCAAAGTTGTTCGAAAGCCCTCCGGGCAAGAACCCACTCACTCCCGGGGGCTTCGTCGGAAGCTGTCAGATGTAAAATTTGCCAGCTCTGCCACACTCCAGCAGAGTCTGCAGTGTCGTATGCTTCCTTGAGTTGTTGCAGAGGAACTCATCCTTGTTGATTCCAAGCCCTCCCTGGCGTCACCCAAAGAAGGCCTGGTGCTCTTGTGCGGGGTGCATCGTAGTTGGTGGCTAGCTAAGGTAAGCGAAGGGCTGTTGGCGGGAAGAGGCAACATGTCTATGCTGGTCATGAGATTCGAAATTGTACAAGTTAGGCGAAAACCGATAGGGAGCCAACTCTCAGCCGATACCACCTGGCGCATAACCATAGCGGCTAATCCTTTTTCCCATGGTCTCTGCATTATGCAAGAGACTCAGTCCGGCACTCATTTGAGTCAAAGCCATCTTAGTTTGTTTGTAGGAGGCTCTTGGTTGTCACATGTGTGTGATAGTTGTAAATAGTAATTCCTAAGCAGGCAAGTTGTGCAAGCGGCCGTGAAAGGGTTGCAGCAATGTTTCAATGTGTCAAGAGACACAGTTTTGCTCCTTGAAATTTTCTTGAGATCCAATTCGTTATCCTAGGCACCAAGTAGTTTTTGTAGGCACATGTCCATGTGCTTTTCACAGGGGTCGAAGATTGCAAAAAACGCGTCGTGGGGTTTTCGTTCGTTTTCGAGTGCTTGACAGGCCGCATACTTTTTTTTCCCGTTGTTTTTGCTCATTCCCATGGGTCGTTTGTATCGTTTTTCAGCCGCGGATGCGAACCACGACAAAAAAGGAGAAGCGAGCAGAAGATCAAGTAGGACATGAATCCCTCAGACCCTGAACCCTGAACCCCGAGCCCTGGCCTAAGAACGCTGTTCGCCTGTTTCTGGATCACGGCTTAGACACAGCTGTGCAAAGGCTGTCTACCCTTTTTGTAGTGTGACCAAAGGCACATTGACATTGTTTGAGGTCGCATTTTGCGCCCAGTGTTTAAGGCCCTGTTCATTTTGCAAGCAAATGTGTGGTTCTGTGAATTTCGCGGTATTGTTAGCACGATTTCAGACGACTTGGCGCTTGCGGAACCAGGTACACTTTATTGCAGACAATGCGTCATGGATTTTTCGTTATGTTCAACCCCCCCTCATGGTGCTTGTTTGCCTCCATTTGCCTCCCGTCCCAGCCTGTAGAGCTCCCTGCGAGAGTTTTTTAAACGTACGTTCGCATCCCCTGACGACGAGGCCGCATTCTCACTAAGGCTACGGGCCACAAACAACATACAATCATAAATGAAATCACGGGCGACAATGATTATACAAAATGACACATGGTGTGGTAGCAGTAAGAATACTGATATTCATAAGACCAGATCCTGCAAATAATGCCATTTTGTACTCAGTAGTATGATTAGTAGCCTTTTTTAACCAATATTTATGATTTCTAACTCGGTATTGCTAGTATTCATTAGTGTTAGTTGTCAGTACAAGATATAACGGCATATGGTTCCAATAGTAGTTCTACATAGAAACAACAAATAGTGTCAATACATAGTGCTAAGAAATGAAATGACGAATGATAAGAAATCGTAAGAATAAACAATGCAAATTACAATGAACAATAACAAGACATAGGCTACTGCACAGTACTGGTAATCATGAATGTTAGCAATAGATAGCAAACATAACAGTGGTTGATGATAGATAGTACAGACGTTGATAGTAGCAAACAAGACTAGAAAGTAGTAAGACAAGCCCGAGGAAGAAATTCTGAATCCGTAGCTGTGCTAATCTCTGCTATCTAAGCTCGCGCATTAGCGGCGTATACGCCCGGCTAGACGCTGTATATGGTTCTCAACGCTGATGGTCAACTCTCAACGCTGCCACTTGGGCTCAGGAACTGCGACTTGGATCATGTTCACCTGTCATTTAGATGTCGGGTCCATGTCCGTCTACCGCTTCAAAGCACAGATTTTTGTAACTTCACTTTAAGTTTTGCACCTCTATTTCTACGCTGGATAGGTCTAGGACTCAGGCGTTCCTGACAAATCGATTCAGGGTGGTATGTAACCCTTTTCTGATTTTACGTGTGTGAACTTTGCTGGGACATGACAGCAAGAGGTCATTCCCAAACATGACGGCCATGACATGCATTTCCTATTTGGTTACAACATGAAAACGTTTTGACAGCACATGCACGGGGGCACGAGGCCAGGATGATGACTTGTGCCAACGCAGCTAAGTCATCCTGGGGGATTTCAGACCTGATCAGTCTGGCGTACCTGCAGTAGGTCAGGCCCCTAAGCTGACCATATTAGGAAAGCCACGCCCGTGAGTTGGCAAGATTGGAGCAAGCCAGTTTCTGCAAGCAACACCTTGATGCCATCAGTGCACGCGTCTTGTCCAATCAGTTCATGTGTCATCATGACAGCCGACATGGCATTCAACAACAATATTCAACATGTTGTTGCAATCAGTGCATGTGATGGGTGCGGTTTGTGACAGCAGCTGTGCAAAGATTCAGTTTTCCAAAAGCATCAAAATTGCGTTCCACAAGCATACAACAGCACAAACAAATATGAGCGGATGGGTAAACATTCCAGTTTTCCGACAGCATCAAAATTTTCATTTCACAAGCAATCAAGTTTCAGATTGAGACCGATGAAATCTTGTAGTGGACATCCAGACATGATTTCAAGATGTGTGCATCAGATTAGCTGATGCAAGCGTGTGTTGGCTCGGATGCCCGAATTGTAGCGTTAGGATAGGCCTATATACGGTACACCCGCACATGGAGGCCATGGCTACGGGTGTACCACATGCGGCCATCCTTAAACAACCGGACGTCTGTCGCAGGTTGCTCGCACTCTTCGCACTGACTCGTTGACTATGCCCCATGTGTGTTGGCCGCCTAGGCCCGAACCGCAGGGAGGGCCGATTTTTTGGGGACTTGTTTTTTTTTAGTTTTCAGGAGTACTTTTCTTTTCTCCTACAGTTTTATCATTTTTCTATTGTTTTCATGTTTTTTCGTGATTGTTCGTGATTTTTCATGATTTGTCATCAGTCTCCCCCGCTTTGCTTCAGAATCGCGCTCTCGTGTGAGGCATCCTTCGATTCCAGGCCCCCAGCCACCCAACAAAAACAAGTCCCAAAAAGAAAAACAAACAAGTCCAAAAACACAAACTCCACCCGAACTGCAGTGCTAGATTGAACCCAAATTACATTACGCCTATAATAAAGGCGTATTGGTCATTCCGAAACTCAGCATCCAGAAGTTCACAGTGGACAAGTTGCGAGACGTAGCGAGCTGAACGTGAGGAACAGCCTGACAGCAAGGTCCGACTCCAGGATGTGAAGCCTCATCTTCTTGGAGTCCTCGTACAAAATCCCTCCAAAACACACCCTGTTCTACACACAGATCATATACCCCGCAAAAAAGCCCGGAAGGAAACTGTAGGCCAAGGTACTCATTAAGAGTTAAACATAAGAAACCAATTAGCAAAGAGTCCTCAATGAAATTGGATACACAGTGGCGCACGGGAAGTCCCCAGGTTCGACAAAGGCCCCGAACCCGCCGAACGCCATTTCGGTGTGTTTTCTCGGGTAGCAGACGACTGTTACAGAGACTTAATTAAGTTGCTCACGTTGCAATCAAACATGAAGCCATCTAAGTGGCCATGTAACCCGGCCACCGACAAGCAGGAGGGCTCCACATGCATTCCCTGCCTTCGGCAGAGGAGTTTGAGATGAAACGCCGAACAAGCTACACCTGGCCTTTCCCTTGCCAGTGTGCGCGTCCTTCATTGCCAACATTCCGCTTAAGTGATAGCATGTGGGGTGCCGGGGCGGCGGCAACATTGTGTGGCGGCTTGTACTGCGGCAGGAGGACTGTTTGAACCCGCAGAGCGCTAGTAGGTACTCCTGGCCAATTTCTGCCGCTCTTTGCCGAAGCCTGCAGGGGTTAGAGTTTCACTGGGCCCTCTCACTTAAAGCACCTCCTTCGAGATGGAATGCCTGCAGGCCCACAAGCAGTGTGACGTCAGCCAGCCATGCGCTCTCCAGTAGACACAGCCACACGAATATGAAGTTGAAAAGAAGCGAACGTTGCGCACAATGCCTTTGCACATGATCTCTATCATTCCCTATCGATATCTTGGAGGGTTAGCTGAGCCAGCTTCCCTCAAGCCTTGAATTGTTTGATTTCTTTGCCTCAGCGGAAACGCACGACCTCCCGATGAGCACGTAGGTGCCCGTTTACTGGTCCCTTGCTTGAGGGTGCATCTGCAGGCCTTCCTCTCATATCAACCCGCTTCCGGCGGCGCAAAACGAGCTAAAAATCATTCAGCCCATCGCTTAAGCTGAGATCATATCAGAGTTCAGAGATGCTGGTCAGCCTTTGGCATCGTTCCCGGGGAAATGGTTCTCATACGCATTTTTTCGTGTAGTTCGTGTGCTGGAAGAAGAGGCTGACCGCTGACGCAGCAGAACGATTTCTGTTTGTGTTCTTGAAGCAGCTTTAGGTACCTTTTGGCATCTTACGCGCAAAGTCCGTCCCCAAAGCCGATGAAGAAACCTCAGCCCGGAATTCCAACTTCGCGAAGCGCCTGAATTTCAGGTGCGGGGCGCTAAGCTTCAAGCCTGTTCTTGACTCGGGTCCCAAGCGCTCGGGCTCGCAATCCTAAAGCCGCAGGTGAGATTTCGAATTCGGAATTGACAGAGGAGGCTGGGCAGCACTCTTTGAACCGCTGTAGAGCTTCAAGGTTCACAGATTTCCATGTACTTGGGGGACTTATCAGCTTCCCGTGCATGGTGACAAAGGCCTTCCAAGGTGTCTTCCAGAAAGTCTCCTGCAAGATGTCCTCTATTGGATCCTTGACCTAAATCGACCGGGATAACTGAAAGTCGATTCGGTGTGCCGAGCATCCGTACCAGGACTCATTCTTGACTAATCCTGTTAAACTCTGGACTCACACTACTTTCTTCGTCGCATCCTGTGCGGGTTCCTGGGCTTCGAGGGTGTGTTTCGAGGGGTTTCCGCTCAGCAGCAACGGGTCCTGTTGGCACAACATAGGACATCAGATATAACAGACGTGAAGTTTTCGGTGCTGCAAAGATTGAATTACTAGTGTGTGCGGAGAAGAGCCATGAAGAGCGATCATTTTGAGAATGTGCTCCTTTCAAGCATGTTTTCTTCGGCGACAAGCGTCTCGGTGGCGATGTTTGGAAGCACAAAAAACCCATGTAGGCTCATCTGCCTGAAAAAGGATCGCTCACCAATCGCTTTCAGATATATTAATGTACACATTCCATATACATAGGCGAACATCTCCTCATTCCGTTGGTACTGTTTGCCCCAACTTTGAAGGACACGTGGTGTCTCGGTGGGTTATGTCTTGCAATCTCTTTGGGTTCATGTTGGGGTACATGTTTTCGCGCCTGTGTCAAAGGAATTTGCTTTTAAATACTTATGAAAGCACTCTCGCAAAGCATTGTTTGGGGACCGTTGTGCCCTGCGGAGCGGGCCTGATGTCAAAACCACCGTGCTGCGGGAGAAGCCTATGCTTGGGGTTGACTTCAGTGATCAGTTGCAGTGCGCTCGGGTAGGTCTGACTTTCGGCCACTCGAGCGGCAGTCTCTTTCTTGACTCGTCGGCTTTCTCTGCTCTATCTTCATGAACATTTTTCATGAGCACGATGGGGCAGGCATGCCTAAATCGAATCAAAGCCGTGCTGACGGCTTCTCGGCAGCATGATTTGGATTTGTCATCGAGAAACAGCCTGAGAGTTGAGGGTAAGCTTATCAGGGAAAATCAAGATTATTCAGCTACTGTAGCCACAACCATGCATTCTCCTCCGTGCACCGTGATCTCATTGCATCGATGGCGATTGCTGAGCAACTGCGTGGCTACGCCGGGCACATGCATGGCTTGCTCTGTGCTTTGACAGAGGAATTCTGCAGCACTGTTGGCGACAGCGCTGGGCGCTCCGCATCCTGTCTAGCAAGTTTGTGGTTTGGAGTTCTCATGGTCTGCTGGCTGCTGAAACTGTTGGAGAATTGCAGTGGGCGGTTTCATTGGGTTGAAGGCTTCTAGACAGTTTCCGTTCTGTTGGCTTTTGGTTGCAAGGCGCTGTGTGCACCCGAAAAGATGGAAGAAGCAGTCGGAAATCTTTGGCGAAGGCCGGGGATGCTGGAGCTTGCCACGCCTGGCACAGTCATGTGGTCAGCATTCCTTTTGCTGGTAGGCTGCCTCCACTGCTGCGAGTACCCCTGAAGCCGGAAGAGGCGCATACTGTCCACATCTTGGTGGATGTGTTGACATGTGGCGATGTCTGCGGGCGTGTCAATGCTTTGCTGCTGGATTTAGTGCTAGTGCTGCGTGATGATGGCCTTCCTGTGATGCGGTCATGGCACGGTTGTGCTTCTGGTGTCGTAATGGATTGGGCATGGTGGACTTTCCACGAGGTTTTGCAGATCCTTGCCATGCACAGGAGAACTCATTTTCAACTCATTTGGGCATAAATTGACATTGCGAACGGAGAAGGATTCGCTGGCCCGTCAACCACACATGTAGGCTTCAAGCACAAGCCTTCTTTGACCTGGGCCCTCAACTCCCACTCACGAGGGAAGAGGCACGGAGATTGGAAACACACGTAAAGCTGCGGCAGGCACATGACCCCCTCGCTGCTTGCAATCTTGCAGATTTGGACTTTGGGGCGGCTTTACAGCCGTATAATCATGCCAATCCAGTGTTCAAAGTTAAGGAACTCCAGAGCCTTCGGCTCATGATGCCAAACAAGAAAGCAAGCCAGTTTAGCATCTTCCCCCCAACACCGGCCAGCCCGCAAGAATGCACACCGGCAAGAACGGGCCGTGTTGCAATTAGGGGCTAACAAAAATCGCTGCAAACTCGTGGCAATCAGCTTGGCTGAGTAAAGCTCAAACCTTGACAAGGCCAAGTTATGGGCTGAAGTGCGTTCATCTTGGTTACCCTGACATCTGGGGCTCAGGCAAAGCAATCACCCTGTCCTTGTGGTGCTTGCACTACAGCTAGCTCTTCGGATCTGGGGGCCTGGCGTGGCCCACCTGAAATTCCTGGGGGAGCTGGCAATCCCCAGCCCCAGCCTTGCATCCGCAAACCTGAATCGCCTGAACGTTTTTGACTGCACAGCTCGCGGCCTCACGGCCATCAAATCGATGCTTACAAGAAGCTAGAAATTCTGTGCGCACCTTGATGTGCAGACTTCCCATGGTTCGCATCAGGGCGAAGTCTCCCCTTACGAGCGCTGCATTCTCAGGCGACGGCGGGCTACATTTCTGGAGGGTACAGCCGGAGGTTCAAGCGTACCTGGCCAGATATTTGGGTACGCAGCTGGGTCTTTTGCTTGGCTTCAAGAGGTGAGCAGAGAGGGTCCAGCAATGTGTGGCCAGAGTGTGGTTAACCGCTGCTCGCTCTAGCTGTTTAAACGACCTCCAGCTGCCAACGGTGCGTCCCCCAAAGCTAGACACTCCAAATCTCCCAGGATTTCAACTGAAGAACCTGGAGCCCAAGCTCCAGCAGCAGCGGAAAATGTCGAGCCGCTTGGCAAAGCCTGCAACCTTGTTTACATGCAGGTCAGGATGTCTTGAGGTTTTGATGGTTAGACAGACATTGCCTAGGGTGCTTTGAGGGAGATGTTCGGGTGTAGTTCTAAGGGGCTTGCTAAGGTCCAGAGCTGAACACTTTGGACGATCACGCCACTCGACGCAACTTCTCAGAGCGCAAACAAACTTCTGCACCTCAAGCACTCCTTGTAGTGTGCAGTTGTTCAGCACGCTTCTTGTATTTCAGGCAGACATTTCGGAGACTGGGGCTCGGGATGTGTCAGGAAAGCAAAATTGGGGGAAGAAACGAAGCCTCTTTCAGCTGCTCGAAGACCTGGCATGCAGCTTGCAAGAAGCAACGGCTGGAAGCCAGCACACATGTAATTGCACCACAGACAGGTTGACCCGCTGGCTTGGTCCGCAGCAGAGGAGTTTGCGTGGCCACCCGCCGGAAGTGTAGCATGGCATTGAGCCGTGCAAGACAGGATTCGAGAAGCCACACAGTTGAATATGTCTCACTCTCATCGACTAGTGACTCGTTGGTTGCCATGATCAAGCAGGTAATTCAGCCAAGGCATGCATGTTTGTTCGTAGCAATTACAAGCGTTTCGTGGTCAGGACACCAATCCTTTGACGTTGTTTTTGCTGTGCGTGGCTATTTGTGTTGTGTAGCCGGTTTGCTAGCTTAAGGTGAGAGCTTGGGGAAGGTTCACACTTGGGCTTGAAGGATGTAGTTTTCGTAGTACAATTGAGGAGACGGATCATGATAAAGACATAAACAAACAGAATGCTATGAAGGTCAGAACCTTCAGACTGCTCGAGCCTGAAGCCCCAAACCCTTGAACTTCAATGCCCAATCTGCGAGTGCAATAGGAAAGCCAGCAACCTGGCGAGGTGCTGTTTCTGCTGGCGGCTCCTGAGCTCTACGTCGCCCACGTTGCGGAGAGCACGCTTCACCAGGCGGCGGGACAGCCGTCATAGCCGTCCTTCATGTCCTTGGTCAGCATTCACAGTGCATGGATTGAACGCGAAGACTTGGAATGTTGCATTCGGCATCGAAACCAGTTGATACAGCAGCAAGTTCATCTTAAATTTTGCTTTGCAGGGCTCGGTAAATGAAACATCACGCAGTTCTTTTCGCATGTGCTTTCGGGCTTCTTGCGCAGGCAGCTGCTATGTGCCAAAGACTTAAACCATCATGATCAACTCTGCGGATCTCATCAGTTGCTCCCAGAGCTTGATGCTGCCCATGCGCAGGAGGAGGACCTCACTACTTAGCTCGTGCCCCTGACTAGTGGCGGCTGATTCAGCTCTGTCTTGACCAGGGTTCCTGATCCGGCTCAGAGTCTCGAGTTTTCTTTCGATTGCGCCCCCAATTGTTGCTGAAATCCCCGGGCAGTTTGCGGTATTGCTCACGGGTTCTCCCGTGACGGTCAGGCAGTGGCTGAATGCCGTGCGTGGACCTCAAGAAGACTCTCGCAACACATTATGGATTCGGTGCAATGTGCAATCCACATTTTGACCATCCTATGTGCAGCTCCTGCTGCAAGTTGCGGTTGAGCACGATATCAGGGTCGAGGTTCGGCCGTTCTTGTTTTGGAGCTGAAACGGGGTGTTGAGGAGAGAGCGTGGGTAATCTTGTTATAAGAGTTCCTACAGACAACAGCGCCGTCAGGAAGGCTTTCCTTCAAGGAACCGTTGTTAATCATAGAGTGAACTTTGAAGCGTAAAGACCACCACAGACCTCAGGAGGCCTTTGAGCTGGCTCGAAGTGAGCTAGCCGCGCGCGTGCAGAAAGCCATCAGTGCCTCAGATTGCTTTTCAGTGAAACCCCGTGTAGATCAGAATGTCTCTGGAATTTTGTTCGCAGGTTTTGTGTGAGCCATTGACAGTCAACGAATGTGGATGCTGGCAATTTTTGGCCTGCTTGGTGCAGGTCCTTTGCCTCAGAACATCTTTTCTTGCGGGCAGGTGTCAAGTTGGGACACCTTACAAGAACTTCTGCGGCGTTTAGCAAGTTACTGTAGCACTCTCCAGACACAGTCCCATGCATGACGATGTAGTGAAATCCATCGGTAGCTGTGGCTCTGGGGTATTATGCTTTGTGATTGTGTGGTAAAATGTTATACATATGGGATCGAGAACCTGACCATTACCGCTTGTGCTCCGGCATCCCTTACAACCCCAGACGGTCAAGGGCTTGGGCTAGTAGGAGCCCATCGGAATACGGTGTATTTCCTTGACCCTGAGGTGCTCACGAGAGCAACGTGGGACTCTCAGCCTGACAGAGCCGGCAAAGGGTCCATTAGAAGGTAACCTCCGAGATATCATTTTTTTGCTTGTGGGGCTGGCAGGCCTGATTGAGTCTGCTAACTAAAATTGGAGAAGATGTTGTCTGAGCGCAAGGTACTCGCCGTGGAACTGAATTTGTGGTCCTGAGTTTGAGCGTATGGAGAACGAGTTTGCAGAGTTGGGTCTGTTAAGACGCATGAGGACCCTAATGTTGCCAAAAGAGTGTGTAGGGTTTCCAAGCCTCACACTCCGTCCCTGCAACCGTGCCGCAAGCTGTCCTTGCTTGAATACTGAACCGATTGGCAGGTGAGCACTGGGAAAGCAAAGGATATGTCAGGCCGGGACCACATGGGACCACATGCAGGGCTAATAATGATGTTGTGCATTATTCTTGCCTTGCCACTCACAAAGTTCCTTCGCAGGGGCCAGCTGGGTGGAGAAGGCGCTGAAGAAAGGCGCATTGTCCTGGCCGGCGATGTGCCTGGGATCAGCTTTTTCCATGTGTAGTCTATACCATGATTCTTGGGGAACTCGAGATCTGTGGAGCATGCAGCGTTGCAAAAATATGCATTGTAAGAGCAATGTGAAGTCTGAAGCCGACCAGGTTTTGCCTGCTGATTGCCCGAACATTCTAGTACACCCCCGTCAAACCAACATGATGTGTAGCTCCCAACCTACAGTCCAGACCGTTTCATAATCAATCATGAAGATACTAAGCTAAGGGCGCTTCAAGCGCTCTGGCTGCGCAAGATGCTGTGGCAGGACTATAGCTCCATCGGCCTGAGTGCAGCAAAGAATTCTCTCTTTTGGGGACCTAGATACCTAGGATTGATGCACGCCGGGGCATGATGATTGCGATGCTGGGTGGTGTGTATTTTGACCGTGGGATTTGAGTCTTTCGCTATTCCAGTCTTGCTACTTGCGGCTTCTAGACGTTGCCTATGAGATAATAAGGCTGCGGCTTGTGTGCAGCTTTTGCGGCCGCATGTAGGTTCATCGTAGGTTCTTCATAGGTTCATCTGGGATCAGGTTTGTTTGTGGTCTTTGCAGTTGTGAGTTCATTGATTTGGGTTTCAAAGTTACTGTAGCAGAGTGTAAGTGTAAGGGCTACTTGTGTTTCGAAGTTGAGACCCATCTGATTGTGCGAGAGTCATCCTCAGCTTCTAGACACTGGCCTTCGGCATCTGTCTCCTTGGAGGAGCAGCGCCAGCGCAAAAAGGCTTCTTGCTCAAAAAAGTGGGACGTTTGGCGCGTTTGGTTCGATGGAAGGTGAGGGGGAAGGCTCAGGATATTGTGAGCTTGGGAAAAGAAAGCAGCAGTTGAAGGCGCAGTGATGGAAGAGGCCATATCTGCAGGTTTATATTTGTCTATACCTTGAAAGCATATTTGCTGTTTGATAGGCTGTTAGACAAGCGACCAGGGATGTGCAGAATCTCAAAGGCATGGCATGCCGACCCGGAAGCGCGTTTGGAGCAAATTCCTCATGATGGTTACCGGAAGTGTGAAGCGCTCCAGGTCCACGCTGTATTCCCGGACTCACACTCGGATTTCTCCTCACGGAAGAGTGAGGCTGGCATGCTGCAAAACCACATCAACAGTTTGGCATTTTGGGCATGGCATGATATTTGTTTTTAATTAAAAACATCTGCAGCGATCTTGTGTTTCCAGACATTGCAGCTTGCAGCCCATATGTTTCTTGCAAGCTTTAGTCCCTTGAACCTTCAGTCGCCAATCGCTATTTGGCACGAGGTATGACAAGCCAGTAGGCGAAAGCGCTTACCGAAAAAAAACGATCCTTCGGGATTGGGTGCCTCATCGTAGTTTGTGGCTTTGATAGCAGCGCTCCAGGCATTCCCCTTTGTGGAATCTCCATGGGAAGTCATGGCGGTGAAGCTTGGAATGTGCCCAATGGTTTGGGCTACCATGGGAGTTTCCAAAATCCCGCAGATTTCCATCATCATCAGCAGCAGCAGCTGATGCAACATGCTGCCCCATCCAACGCAGCATGGACGCAAGCTCCAGATATGGCTCGATTGCTTGCCAGCTATGGACAGATTTTGCAGCAACAACAGTCCTCGCAACAACAGTTTCTCGGGGAGTTGTCGCATTATCTTGCTCAGATTGCTCAGTCCAATGCAAGGGATGTCCGACCTAGGCGTGATGAGCACGTTCTTGTTTTGGATGGTCATCCTGATCAGCTTCTCAAGTGCTTCGGTATCCATATTCAACAACTCCTGAAAAAGCTAAGCCGGGACTGGGAGCGACGAGTCGCAAAATTGTTTTCCCAAAAAACCTTGGAAAAGAAGTACGCGGAGCTCGACCATAGCCCCACTATGCATCGTGACTTCAAAATGGAGGTGGACAAGCCTTGGCAGTTCGCCAATGACTACGCAGCCATTGCTCCACTCAGTGATTTGGAACTTCGCAACATTGACTCAGATGCAATGAGTGATGCGCAATACGATGTCAATAAAACTTGGCAGGACGTGAAGCAGAGGCATGCGCAAGAATGTTGGCAGTTCGTCCAACAGCGCCAAAAACGTTATCTGCAACACTTGGAAAGGACTACCAATCGTGAACATTTGCACAAAGAAGCATCCGATTGCTTGCTTCCTTCATGCTTTCTTTGCCAGCGTTCTACACCGAGGCCGATTGTGCCAGAATTGTGGGTAAGATTCAGGCATGGACTGACCTGTTCAGTCGCCATACTCTCGGCGCACATAGTTCCCGTCACAGAGCGCAGGAGGAAAAAACTTTGAATAGACAGAAGCAACTGGACGATGTTCAAGCTCGCTATGAAGCCACGGACCCGCGGACATTCCAGGTAGCCTTTACGCTTGAGGCCCAGAATGTCAAGCAGAAGCAGGATGACAAGGGACGCAACACGAAACCAGGACCCAAACTTACAGTGCATCAGCAATCCGCTCTAGGCAGTGTTCTGTCCCAAAATCCGGCACTTGCAGATGAGTACAACTTGCAAGTCAAGAAAACCGTGGAGCACAGGGAAGTCTGGGTCAACCAGAGCGACGCAGTACTTCTCGGAGGAGCGTGTCTAGCAGGAGCCGAAGAACTTGATTCATGTCAGCTCGCTCTTCTACATCACGGCAGTCTTCACGCTAGTCATCTAGAAGCGTCCGCTTTTCAAGAACACCTCGTAGTCTTCCAGGAAATCGCATGGTAGGCCTATGAGGACACCTAGAAGCACAGATCGTTCGCAGCACTCCCGAAAATCACGTAAAGATTCTAAGCAAGAAAACGGCAAAGGCCAGCCTCGGGGCCGAAGCCGAGGCAAAACAGATTCCAAGACCGAGGGCATAGGCAAAGCTTGCGGTTTCCAGCAGAGGACGGCAGTGAAGCGGTTTACAAGTGGTGGTAATAAACATCGTTCTAGGAGGAGAAGCTTCTGGAATCCAGATGACACCATCGATTTTTGGAAGTTCCTTCATGTACAGTTTCGAAGGACAACCATGCAGCAGTTGGCTTCAAAGCCAGCGCTTGACAATGTTCACTTTGTGCATGTTCCCCGATCTGCTGTTCCGGATTTTGTACACAACCTTGCCGCCAAGAGCTCTAAATTCATTCCCGATGCAAGGCCCAGCACCATCCGTCAGGTTTTATCCTCTTTTGATCAATTTGTGCGGTCGATGATGCTTGCTCACTTTTTCTCAGGGAGACGTGACAAGTATCACTGCAAATTGCAAAAAGAAGGGCTTAGAAAAAGCGAGCCTAGGCAACAAATCTTGGCTTCCAAAGCTGGACGATGATGCATGTTCGAGGTTCAACATGTATGCCAGGCTGACACAAGCTGAGATTACTGGCTCGTGGCCCGCTGCCCGCAAGATGGCAAAGAACTTCAGTCGTTTGGATTTGGAAGCTATGCGATGGCTTGAAAGGCATGCTGAAACTGCCAAGGTTGTTGACACGGACAAGTACTGAGGCAATACAATTGTTTCTGCTCCCTGAATTGATGCGCAATGCCGCAAATGGTTGGCCAAGTCAATGATGCTGGTTGATGCTTGCAACAGGCAGGCAAAGATGTCGCTGTTGAAAGCTCAGTTGCAGCGCATGGTAGACAAGGCCAGTGCAGTACGTGCCATCACCAGACAGCAGGCTCAGTTCCTGCTCGATCAGTTACGTTCTAATGCCGCTCAAATCACCAGTGGACAGTAGGCCGATTTGCAACAACAGCAGGTTCGGTCTATGCAACGCAGGCATTTTTCTCAGTGCTTACCTCAGGGATTTGGTGATACGCTGCCCTAATGCGATTACTTCACACTTGGCAGTTATTAGTTGAGCCGACTCATCTCAACCTGGCCCCGATGACCGTCTGGTAGTTTTTGACATTGTCGCCTTGTATCCCAACTTGCCAGTATGGGCCGATGGAAGTGGCCATTCGTTGTATCAGATTGTCAGCGAGCGCATATGGCAGCTTTATGGCAACATTGACCATAATTTAGCGTTGCTGTTGGATTCCATCTTACATGTCATTCTGAGCAACCAGTTTGTGCATTACGATGGAGTCGCTTATGAAGCTTTGCAAGGTCTCAACACTGGCTTGCATGCTGCTTCAGAACTTGCTAACGTGTTCCTGAGCATTTATGATCTCCATGTCACATCTATGCTCGCAGCAGCCTGCAAATTCTATGCCAGATTCATCGATGATGGGCTGCTTTGCGTAGATATTTCAAAAACTGACGATTCTTCAATTTTCAGTATCCTCAACTCATAGAACCGGCACATTCAAACCGATTCGGTGGCCAGCAGTTGCTCCCAGCAGGTCTTGGATTTGCAATTTTCGCTGGGGTCATATGATGACTCAGTGCCAGCTGAGGTTCAGTATGAACTCTACAGGAAGCCGCTCAACATTTACAATTACATTGCGACTACCCAACATCTGTGTGTAAGTCTATTGTCCATACAGAAGCAGTACGCGGCTTGCGAACAAACAAGCAACCTGAAAGCTACAACTTGCAATGAAGAGTGTTCGCTCGTTTGCTTGGGCATCGTGGACATTCCCAAGATATGATCTGATCAATCTTGCACCGATATCCGTTCACTGACAGGGCGAACATTTTGTCGCGTCTGCATGGGAAGAAGTTGAACAAAGCCCGGAAATGCGTTCTGAAGATTCGGCATGCCAAATGTCAAAGCCTGCCTTTCATGACTGCTGTGAAGAAACGTTTGGATTTGATCAAAACAGGCACTTTTCTTGTGCAGCCGGTTATTGCAAAAAAACAATGGCCCCAACCTTTTTCGCCAACTATACAAACACACTTGGCGAAAGACAGGCTAACGGGAGGGATGGTGGGAGCCTGTTTTTGTTTAAAAACATCTGCAGCGATCTTGTGTTTCCAGGCATTGCAGCTTGAAGCCCATATGTTTCTTGTAAGCTTTAGTCCCTTGAACCTTCAGTCGCCAGTCGCTATTTGGCACTAGGTTTGACAAACCAGTAAGCGAAAGCGCTTACCGAAGAAAACGATCCTTCGGGGCTGAGTGCCTCATCGTAGTTTGTGGTATTGAAATTTCAGATTGCAGGTGATCAAAGCGCAGCAGACGGCCCTCACTCATTTCGTGCCGCTACTGCGTTTGGGCATCCTGACATCTGGGAAGTGTTGGTGGTTTGGCTTTTGGGTTTCTGCACGCCCACTAGTGTAGTACAGTGTATTTTCAAAAGATCCTGCCTGGGAAGTCGTTTTCGAACTGCAACTGCAGCTTGGCCTGCGCCGTTTTTCCTAGAACAGGGGAGAAGCTGGTTCGAAACCTCGGGAAAAGCAACTCCGCAGCTCGCATACAAAGCCTGAACCTTTTGATTGCGGAGCATGTGCAATTTCCCGAGATCAGAAACCAGTTCGAGCTCCTCAGCTTGAAGCTGAACAAGGACTCCTCCATGTGTTGCCAGTGTCACGAATTCAGGCGTTTTAGGCTTAAGTTGGTGCTGAACCTTGAGCGTCCATGATACGAGAAAGAGTCAATTGCAATTACGCAAGCTTCTGTTGGAGTCAATGTGGAGACACTAGTGGAGTTTTAGTTTTCAATATTGCCCTTTTGAGAAGAGAAGAGTACGGTCCAAGCCTCAAGTGCTGCGGATTGGAATGGTTTTCAGAGTCCAGAGATTTAGTGCAACAAAAAGTCGTGCGCAAACAGCCCAGGGCGGAGATCCGTTTTGGGTGCTTTGAAAAGCAGAAGCTGTGAGGAGATTTTGGCCAAGGCTATGGGCTACCGATCCTCAGAAGCATTACTTCACCGGGATTTCACTGCGACTGTATATGAATGCTCCGTTCGTAAGGGATTGCTTTAAACTCCCGTTTGATGAAGCTTTGCTCTGAATGTGGAGAGCTTCCAATACTGCGCAGTCAAGGGCTTGTTGTTTGTTCCTTTTTCGGGGCAGTCCAGGGTTGATAATTAGCTGGTTTATAAGGCCTGGGATTTGAAGGTTTTTGGCTCATGAGGTGACTCATGGAGCTTGCGGCATTCTGTGAGGCATTTCACTTGCACAAATTGATCTGACACTTCGCTGCGTATATAAGCAAGTGCTTTTTACATCTTCCTGAGGTAATGTTGCACATCGACAGCCCCATTTGAGAGATTTAAGAAACAGCCCTCAGCTGAGGGTACCCTCGACCTATGAATGATGATCGTTTGCATGAAGTATAATATCTTTTTGAATCAAATTGCTTGTCGCAGGCCTCTCAGGGTACCCTCTATTTTTGAGAACTAATCCATGGCAGCACGTCGAGTTCAAATGCCCAAATTCAGGAATTGAGCCCTGCTTTCTCTTTTCAATTTTAGGACGAGCCCCTCAATTATTGAATCTTGCCTTTGAGGCATGTCGCACGGCTGCCAGGCTCCCAAATCTTACCCAAATGCCACGGACAGCCCTGGCACCAGCCAGCATGGCAACACCAAGTCTTCCATTCTTCCTTACGGCCTTGTGCTCGGGCCACCGTAGTCCAAAAAGCACCTACAACTGAAGAACCTCAGAGGGTTCCGTGAAGGCTCTGGGAGGCTTTTTGCAATGCCCGCAAGACTCCTTGCACCCTCTTGGAAAACATGCTCAACAGGCATAATGGAGGACTCAGTTTGGTTGGGAACAGGATGATGGGCAAACAGATGAGCGTCCTCGATGAGGGATCATCTGATGCACAGCATGTTGGAACTCACAGGACAGGGGATCCTCTTCATCTTCCCCTATTGCCTCACAAGATGCTCATGATGACGGCTGTACTCGGCAAACAAATGTTGTTTACACAGATGATGAGGCAAGCGTCGACTGTGGTCTTCAACCTTATACCCACTGGGGCCAATGGGTTCCTCTTCATCACAGAATGCAGTGGCGAATGATGTACATGCAGTAGGTTTTCCCAGTGTCTACAACCTTGAAAGCTGTACAGCTTTCTCAAGGGATCGCACGTTGGCGTCGGCCAGGTCTTGGTCAGGTACATTTCGGACACAGTTTGGTGTACTTGCCGCCAACTCCCCTATTGGAGGACTCCCCAACAAAAAATCGAGCCAGCAAGGTGGACGCTCAAGTTAAGGAAGTTGAAGGCCTCATTTGCAAATTTCCATTTCAAAGAGAGGGAGGTTCACTTTCTGAATTTGGGGGTGTCTGAACTCAGAGCCCCCCGATTTCTAACATCAAGCGAAAGAAGTGGTCAGACGAAAGAAGGAGTAAATTCAGCAATCACAACACGGACCAAGGAACCGTCAATTTCTTGCTTTCGACTTTCATAATCATTTTGTAAAGTCATATACTCATCTGTATATCTATCTACAAATGTACATGCACATATATACATATATATGTATATATATGAACATGAATATGAATATGTTTTCGCGGCTGGGGGAGGGGCTCCATTCCTGAAACCAGTGACCTCTTGAACAGTGCTGTTGCTGTAGACATTCGAAGAGCCGTCCTCGTTACCACAGAATTGCAACTGCCACTTTCTGCTCGGGGATCTCCTGCACGCAAGGCACGCAAGCAATTGCCAAAGCACAAGGGCGACAGCCGAAAAAGGAGGAGAAGAGTTTTGTGTGAAATGGTCGTGCGGAAGTGTTGCTTCCCTCTTTGCCCCTGCTACCGGCTTCAGTCATGCAAAGAGGAGTTGAAGAAGGAAGAGGCAAGCAAACCTGCTAAGTCGAAGCCGGCAGTGCAGTTCACAGCTCAGGGGGTTTGGGGCTTAGGGTTCAGGACGCAGGATTCATTGGAAATACTGGGATATGCGATTCGAGTGAGTCAGTCACACTTTGACTCATGCTCATCAAGATGCTCGACGTGCAGAGCATTCCAGAAGCGTCATTTCAATGTTTGCTGCGAACGTGTGTCTGATTGTACCTGTCCGCCCTGGCGCGGCTCTACGCGCGGCGCCGAGGAAGTAGATTGTGGGCAAAGTATAAGGCAGTATGGTCAAAGGATGTCTTTGATCTAGGGGCCCCTTCAGGTTTCAACTTAGGTTCAATCGACTCAATGCAGGTTCAACAGTAAATTGTTTGATCCTGGGCTGAACTCAACTCTCCAAAAAAGTTAAAGCGCAGATCAATCCAGGGCTATTGAGGGTTAAGGGGTCCCTTCGCATGGTAGAGTGTATGGGAAAAGAGATTTCAGGCCTAGCAGTTTTTCTCAAGGGGTGCATAGGTGTTGACAAGGGCTATGTAGGTTTTAGGGGTCTCTTTGGAGGGGCGGCCAGCGAGTATGGGCAAGGGATATTTCAGATTCAGCTTAGGAAGCATAGGAACTGGAGATTTAGGGCCTTGGGGCCCCCTCATGGAGGTGCAGCGGAGAGGGGGAAAGAAAGGTGATAGGGGTCGGTGAAACGGGTGAATTGGGGATTTGGGCAAGGGACATTTAGGGTTTAGGGCTATGACAAGGGATTTGTTGTTTTTGAGGGTCATACGGCGTAGAGGCAAGGGATCTTCTTCTGGGTGTATAGACAAGGACATCTATGGGCAATTAGCTTTAGGTTTAGGGTCCCATGTCCGTTTAGACAGGCTCGATGCAGGGGGCAGGTCTTACGGGCCACGACGGTAGAAGGTGCAGAGGGGGGAGGGTAGGGGGTCAGGTCAGGGTAGGGAGGTGGAAGGGTGGGGTAGGGGGCGGGGTGGATTTTTTTCTTGATCCTGCTGTGGTGGAAATCCAACTTGTTTGTGGTGGAAATCCAAAGCCCTACCTTCATTCAGGCATGCCAGCTTGAGGTTTTGACATGTTGCCTGCGGCATTCTGGCATCTTGAGCTATAAATCTGGAGTAAATCTTCCTCCATCTAAAGTCCCGGAGCCTTCCTTATTTCCGTGAATTTGATATCTCTGATTGCACCAAATCCAAGGCCAGAGGGAAAGTTCACTGTGGGGCAGTGGGTGGAAGTCCTTCGGCATCACAAAGAACGGCCGGGCTTCGGCAGGCCTGGGCAGCATGCACTGCATGCCATTGGCATCCAGCGTTCAGACTTCCTGAGGCTGTGGGATCAGGGCCCAAACTTTCATACGGTTCACATGACGCAGTGCGACATTGGCCGCTTGCAGCTATGCTCCTAGCTGCTCGTTCGCGCATGTTCTCGCTGATGGTTGTAAGAAGTAGGCGCGTGAGGGCCGCACGGGCGCTGCTAGATGCTTCTCTGCTGAAAGGAATGCCGTTGTTGAAGCTCTTCCCGAAGTCCAACAAGGTTCTGTCAAGGAGGCTACTGTCCTGGATGCAGGGTGTGCTTACTCATCTTCTGTCGTGCTGCTATGATTTCTTGGCAGTCGAGGAGACAGGAACCTGTATCGTTGTTGAGTTTTTGAATGCCTGGTTCCGGTTGTGAGTTTGAGACTAGATTCTCGGAGCATATGCCTGCTGCAAAATTTTTTAGCAGGCGAGCTTGCACTCCGTTTGAGCCCCAAGTTGTCAATGCAGAACACGAAGCCTGTGAATGATAGGTTCAAGTTCGAACGCCCGACGGTGAAATGGAGGCCCGTGCAGTGGTAGGCACGCATAATCTTGGGATTTTATGTCCAACTCAAAGGCATGAATCCCAGAATCCAAACAGGAGGAGTCCTATACGCCATTGGGCATTTGTGATTTCTGCTTGTGTAGTTTGCGCCTGCTGCTGTATCTTGCAGTAGCGCACGTGGGCCAGTCATTGAATTTTGGGTTGGTGCAGCAACTCACAGTCAGTTGAGTGTATGGGAAGGGTTCTAAGCTGCAGAGAGTTTCTGCTCTTTGCAAAGCTTCTGGCCTCCAGGTCGTTTCGATAAAGAAGCTGCGAAGCGCTCACCTCTGGAAGCAAGGCCAGGCGTTGGAAGACTTTCCCTTTACCCAAATTTCCATCCGTTTGCAGAGTCCCTTTCTAGAAAGGGACTCAGACATAATTTGCAGCCATGTTCGGAGTGTCTCTGGGTGGGCCTCTTTGGCGACTATGACAAGTGCATACACAAATGAGCTTAAAGATGAGGAAGTCACAAATTGCAAGCAAGGCTTGCTCTGCTTGGAGGGAAAGCTCCTAATTACCAGAGGCAAAGTTATCGATTCTTAACCCAATTTGACATCCCCATCCAGGTCCACAACCAGCATTGGAGATCCGAGTCAAAATGTTGCTTGCCCCTATGCAGGTGAGCGCGTCGAGGCCAAAATCGAAGGCCCACTGTACAGTTTTTGTCTGGAGGATTCTGGAGTTGGGCTTTAGCCTTAGCGACGTTTGAACGGGAAGGGTGCACTTCAGCCGCCGTTTGGGTGAGGCAGACCATGCTCAGTGAATTGATGCTAATTGATTTTGTGAAACGCCCAAACAAAGAGTCAGAATCCACTACCTGAGGGGTCCAACAGAATCCGAGCGCAGAACCTGGGAGACCTCATGGTGTGAGTAGGAGAAGCCCCACCGTGAGATGGAACTGGTAGGGCAATATCCTTCAGCTGCAGCCCCAGCTCCCGATTGCCAGAATCATATCCTGGGGCTGATTCAGATTCTCAAAGCTTAACAGATCTTGATGACGCAGCCAGGAACATGGCTGGAGGCTAACATTGCTGCTGACATGCCCAAGGAGGCATTTGCAGCATGAAGATAGTGTCATGGGTCGGGTTATTTGCTATTACTACTCGTCAGAAAAGGAGCGTAGCGTTTTCAAGTATTTTTGTTGTAGATCAGGTTGCAGTTTGTGTGTTTGGTACAAAGTCTGGTACAGTATTCGGGGCCTGGATGTGGGTGCCCCCCCGCGACAATTACGAGGATATCTTCGACAGCTGGGGTGCTGATTTGCTTGAAGCCCTGCCATTCAGCAGCCTGAAGCTGTCCGCTTGTTGAGCCCACCAGGACACATGGCCCAAATGCGGTTGTTGCCGATGCGGCATTTACAGCAACTGCAGGTTTCCGCAACCCACCTGAAGGCATCTGGAGACCCAACTAAGAGTTTGCCATGAGCGAATGATTGAATCCAGCGAGTGAGAATTGGGGTCTTGAAGGCTGACGCGACCTCCAAGACTCCAGTTGCAGTTGTTCTCGTGAACGGCCAGGCCATTTTGTGCGCTTATCCAAGTTTTGCGCAGTTGGGGCTCGGAGTTGCGGATGCCCGCTAGGGCCTGGGAATTTTGACAAGATTCGGCAGCCTGAGGGCCAATGTTGCCAGGTAGGACCAGAAGTTTGGATGCAAGTTCCTGGGCGGATTTGGGCCTGAAAGAGCCGTCCTGGTTTGTCAGTAGGCATTTGGCAAACACAGGTCATTATGTTATATAAGGTTCTGGTGATGCATCTGTCTGGTGCTGATACAACAGGCAGCTACGACCACGAAGGCTACAGTCGACTTTCAGCATGTGCGTGGGGCACCTGGCATGCTTTGGCTCACGTGCTCATGTATTGCTGTTACTGCTCGAGAGTCCTCGGCCATAGGACAGCGAATGGCAAACCTCTCACTTTCTGCTTGCGGTGCTCATTCATTGGCAACATTGCATGCAACACCACCGATGTTGCAAGCATATGGTGCACTATTTTTTGCGTGAGGGGGGGAAGGTGTCATTGATTGGCAGGGGCCAGACACGGCTGTAAAAGCGCACATCTTGAGGTTCATGTGTAGCGAGTAAGTGAGCTGAAGTGGAGCCTCCCAACCTCCAATGCACTCTCATGCAGTGTTTGCGTAAGCCAAACAACAGAAAACAAAACATAGCCTGCCCACTAAGCCCAAAATCTTCTTTTATTGCTGCGCAGGACGCTTCGTTGCGGCCAGATCACGGGACATCATTCAAGTCAACTGAGAATCCGACGGAGTAAACTGGTTTGATCGGTTTGCCAGAGTGTTGACAGTTTAGCAAGACTGCTGGGTCGCCAGCATCGCACGAAGGGCCTGCGTTTTTACTTTCGAGAGGGCTGTTGCTCCCAAAGAAAGAAGTCACGTCTGGGATTAGGAGTTGAGGGTCTGTTTGGAGTTGTCCCAAATCTACTTCAAGCTCTCAGATGTGGAGTCTTGCGTTGAGATCTTGGGATTGAGTGCTGTAAGATTGCATCTTTCCAGCTTGGGCTTTGCATGGGTTTGGGAGGACGTGTGCGAAAGTTTTGTCACGTCGTTTGTTTCGCGTCCAGCCGTGAGGCCGTAGGTCTAGCTGAATGACACTTAACGAAGAGACAGTCTTAAGCGGTGGGTAAGTCGGCTCGTCATTGCAAAATGCATTTGCGGAATAGTGCAGTGTGTAGATCTGTCCGTCTCATAGCCTAGCTACCTTACAGAAGAGTCTGATGGGTCAGGGTATTCGCCTGGAACCCAGCTAAGCAGAAAATCCATCCCCTTGACTCGTCATCCCCTTGACTTGTGCTACGCCCCAAGCACGGTTGCCGCTCCGGCTCCATTGCGGGTGGGTCACTATAGGGTGTCCGAGTGATTGTCCAGAAATGCTGGAGAATCCTGGCTGCAAGGACATTGATGGAGTTGGTCTTGCTACAACCCTTCGGATTAAGACGAGCACTTGCTTCTGAACATTTTCTTGTTAGATGAGCGCTTGTGGTAGGTTGTTTTACTTTGACGACGGGCGTCGAAACTTGCAGGTCTTACAACAAATCCATGCAGCCGTGCGTCCGAAATTCTGGTGGCCCTCTGTGCCCTACGAAGCTCTTCTACACGCTTTGGCACCTAGGACGCCACGTTCGGCTGGAGATGCGAGCTGGCGCTTGGAGAGCCGCAGTGGGGGTCTGAGTCAAAGCTTGCGGAGAGGCTCAGGGAGAGGCTCCAATTCCTGTGCAGACAGCTCGCTCTATTCTGGGTCTTCAGGAAGGTTCCGGAAGTGAAAATTGATAGCCATACCAGTCCAAAAGGTCCAAATGCATTAGACAGCTCTTCGCAGAGTTTTGTGTGGATGATCGCCCTGACGGCAGGTGGCAATGAGAGATGTGATGTGCCATGACCATGCGTTTTTTTTCAGCAATCCAGCTGTCTTTCCACTGCGAACTGGCACCGCCCAGCGTGGCCTTTGCGTACTGGTGGCGGCGGCAGCGGCTGCTGATGATTGTGTTGATGGTAGTTGTGGTGGCGTTCATGATGATGATGATGATGATGATGATGCTGATGATGCTGACGACGACGATGACGACGATGACGACGGGGAGGAGGCGTTGCGATGGGTGCAAAGGCAGCGTGCTTCCAATGACCAGTCAATCCGAAAATCTCAGATACTGCATGGCGGGCAGGCTATTCCTATGCCTCGCTGCTTGAAGAGTCCACGTCGCGGCCCCGAGCCAACGCCTCACCTGCCACACAGGCAGGCCAGAGTGGGAGAGCCTTCGGTTCCTTCGCGATTGAGAGGCCCTGGTTTTCAGATTGAGAAAGATTGTCGCTCCTCTCTGCGTTATCATTCTATTGAAGGAGATTTTCAGGAAAAGACCTTCATAATTCGTCCTGAGTAGTAGGTCCAGTCCCAAAAGCCTCCGCCGAATTGTTGCATGTGGAATACGGCTCTGTCGAGAGAGGCTACAAAACAGGCGAGAAAGTAAGATGCAGACCTTTGAGGTCGAAAGTTACAAGTTTCAGGGCCCGAAGACCCAAAGTTTCTGCAACACGAGATGCAATTTTCCCGCGCATTGCGTACTCTCTTATCTCCACTTTTCAACTCAGGGAACATGGAAGGCCTTCCCGCAACCTTCAAGTCTCAAGCGAGTGGCCCACGGGCTGCAGAAAAATGAAGCAGACTGCTGAGACCAAGTTTCTGACCGGCAGCGGAGGCACTTGGCGCTGTCTTCGGCATCATCTCCGTGACTGCGCTAGCTTTGCTTTGCTTCAGGAGCCCTGTACACCTTCTGCACTGAGATTCATTGCTTCGGCCTCTGGCGTTTGCCCATTCTATGTCTTGGGATGAAGCGCTTAGGACGAAGCATGTGAGCCTAGAGCTCAGATTGTGCAAAGTGCGCTTGCAACTTCACTCTTGGGCACCAAAGACTTCATTCATTCATGGACGAAGCAACACATCGAAGTTGTGCTCTGCGAACTAGGTAGGATTCCTGGCAAATCTTGCAGAAGATCCCCAATGCTAAATCCATGCGAGAACTGACCAACCTTCTTCAAACCTCCCGGTATGCAGCGGCAAATTCAGCTTCAACCAGTAGGACCTTGTGCCAAGTTCTCGCGAGGATAGGATCAGCACCTTTGCGGTCCAACCTGCAATCTTCGCTCCGCCTTTCGATTGCATTTGGCATGTTTTCTCCATTCTACTGAGATACAGACAAGGTGAATTGCTTGGGTCTTTAGCCTGGATTGCCCAGAATCTGTCATTGGTGCCTCAGGAGCAAATAGTCTTGAGGCTTGGTGTTGCAAACGGCAGGGAATTTAAGGCAGAAGTTTAGCACCGCAATTTTAATCTCACCGCCACTTCCCTGACATCAAAGTTTGATTATCGGAGGGTAGCCTTGACCAGGTCTCGGCACTGGAGGCCTGCATCTGCAGGATTATGACTTTGTCTCTGCAGATTGCAGAAACTTTGTCTTTTGTTTGTGGGAACCCCTGTCCCAGTCAATGACATCTTTGGTTGAGTTGAGACAGAGTTTCAGATGGCATCTGCAAGAGGTCAAACCAAGGCTTGTCCTGACAATCCTGAACTCCTGTCGACACCGACGAAGAAACATATGAGCTGTAGTCTAAACTCCTTAAAGGGGTGTATATAGGGGATTATATAGGGGACTACTATAGGGGTTATTAAGGGGGATACTAGGAATTTAGACTATAGCTCATATGATAATGATGTGTCTTGCTGAAAGGTGGTGCATCGGAGAGAGATTGGTCCGGTTCTGAGGTTTGGGACAGAGCGGTGGGCCTTCTAGCTTGGGAGTGGCCTTCAGGGTCATTCTCTAGTCATTGACATGTGACAGACATGTCGCATGCTTCATGCGGCTCTTGTTGTCAACTTCTTTGGAGAGGAAGTCAAAGTCTCAACAGTAGGAGCCCCAAGTCAGGTTTTCTTCGTCCGTGATGTCCGCCTTTATGGAAGGCCGGAGCAGAATCCTGAGGTTGGTCAAACTAAGAATATCAAGTAAGCGTTCTGCTGAATGCACAGCGTTTAGACAGGCGTGTTCCTCCACCTGGCATCGTATTCCTTTGCTGGGCAGTGTGTTTGTCTCAAAAATCAAGGTGCACGGGATGCAACTTGTTTTTTGAGTCCTGCATGGTTTCAGTTTTGGGTTGCCTGAACCCCAGACTTTGGCTCTTCTCCAGCTCCATGCAAACCAGCTTTGGCATGGCAATTTCGGGTTCAGTAAATCGACCCCATCTCGAGACCCTGGAAAGTCGGTGTTCCGATTGCGTAGGGCAGCGGGGCAGCTTTACTTTTGGTAGTGATCCTCGACCAAATGTGAGCAGTTAGAGCAATCGGTACAGGGGCCACTTAATCGAGACAGCCTGAATCGCCTTCTGGCCTCATCAAGTGCGTCCTGGAAGCTGGCTTCCCATTTGTAAGCTCTCGTGCTTTTGGAGTGCTTGGGTGCATGTTGAGCGCCATCATGGTGTAGGGCTCGTGCGATCGTGCTTGTCCGGGCCGCGTCCCGCCTATCCGGGTTTATTGCCGCCATGTTTGTGGGTCCCGACGGCAACTCCTGCAAACGCGCATACTCTGGCTTTCCGAAAGCTGGACCCGCTTCTTCAACAGAAGCAAAGCTGCGTACCTCAGCGGTCCCTCTTTTGCCTGGACTCCCCCAAAGTGCAACATCTTTCTAGTGGCGGATAGCTACTTCCCAAGAACGTGGATGTATTCAGAAAATTGTACGATGCCGCTCTCGCTTCACTGCATCGCCAGGACACCTAGGGGCGAATCAGAACCTACCAGTTAACTGGACAGTTCGGTATATCGCCAGGGCCTCATGCAAGGATGCTTGTTTGCTCCCTGCGGGCCTGATTGCTGCACAATGTTACAACTTATCTTGAACAGCGGTCCTGGTACTCAGTGGTTGTCTTGGTTTCAGCAGCCGGATCTTTAACGCTAATGTTGCTCTCTCATTCCCTCCCCATCGATTGATCCATCTCCCTTCTGGGGGCACGAAGCATGTAGGTTTTAACATCTATTTGGAATCAATTGAAATAAAATGGGAAATATTGCCCTAGTAAACTAAAAAATCCCGAGTAATATAGCTGTGGGTATAGTTCTAAATGTGTTCCGGCGGCGGGTTCTTATAAATGTGCGTATGCTCGCTGATGTGAATTAAACATGACGGAGAAGTTCCCACGGTTGGATCCAGTGGCTTGAAGAGACAGCATGTGCTGGGCTCCGCAATTAAGGACAGCATCCCCGTCCTTTACAAGGACAAGGGCGCTGATAATGCCAGAGCCTTGTGAAGGCGTCCACCCGGGGCAGTCAGATCAATCCGAAAGCTGATGCCAACTCGCTCAACTCGGGAAGCCGCAATTGGAACCGGTGTTAACGTAAAACACCAGGGTCACCTGGAGATTTGGTGTGTGAGGAAACTGAGTTCTGACAATTATGTTGAGATGGACTAAGCCCCAGCTTTGTTCCGCTGTGACTTTGCATTCCGCGGGCTCAAGTGCTTGGACCTGATGTTATCAGGAAGACCAAATCTACAGCAATCCCACCTTTCATGTCGACCTTCAGTTGTTTGTCCTAGGTTACTGGAGAGCATGGGATTTGGTTTATGGTTGCCCTGAGCCTTCTTCTGGACATATTCATAACTGTCCAGTGCACAGATCTGAGAGGGGCTGGGCATCGGGCATCCGAGTCCTCTGGGCTTACAGAAATTTGAAGTGGATCCAGCGGGTGTTGAAAAACCC